CATCTAAACTTAATTAAAAGGACTTGTTAGAAACAATTATCGCAATTCGCTGCTATTTGATTTGTTCTTATAATGATTTTAATCGTAATTATTACTAATACATCACCAGGTTGACTCTGCTTTGTCCTTGGTTTTAATTTAAATGAAAATGTTCATTAAAAGCAGCTGACCTCACATGAGCTATTTGAGTTGGAAAATGAGTTGAAGGTAAATCTTTTCTTGAGTTCCTGATGAGGCTGCCGGATATTGTTCTGGAACAAGGTACTCCTGATGTAACTCAGAGAGACATAACAGGTAACTGGGACTGTCGTAATGCGATCAGCCTGAGGATTTAAAAGTTATTTGAAGTGCTGTGTTTCTTAAAGCTAGTACACAGTCAACAGTGCAGATCCAGTCTTTTTTAAATGCCCATGAAAGTATGTCATACAGCTTAGCTCTATGTCCCTATGTTAGATTGTATAGATAATGAAATGTAAACAGATCCATTACAGCAGATATTTTATAGCCTATCTATTTGTATGCTTTTGTCTACAGGAGCTATTTGATCACTGTTGGGCTTATTGAAGATATACGATTTCATTATGATAATTGGCCTTGATGCTCAAAAAAGTTTAAAAAAAACATGGATATTGTAACTATCATCTAATTTTTATTATTTTTATCAATATTTCAGGCAGCTACTAAACAATATATTTTCTGTGAATTAATATAGATTCTGATAGTAAGTCCCAGTTAAGATTCCTTTGTACCATTTATACACCGTGATTTGATTTAATTAAGTCTTAGAATTTGCTTCATATAATTTGTAACTACATGACTTGTTAAATGCAGGGATCATGTAGCTGTGGTGATGCACAGTACTTTTCCCCCTAAGCTTAGCATCGTTATTTACTGTTTACCTGTGTAATAGGGGGAGAGAGTGGAACAGTTTGTTTTCACAGTGTCCTGTCCTGCCGTGACACTTTGAGAGGCGACTTTGGCTGAAACCTTTAACCCTCAGCAGAGGATTTGTGGGATTGTAGGTGGAGTGAAGGATTTAGGGTTTTAGTGGCACACTGGAAAAGAGTGGGTCAGTGTGTCAGTATATCAGTGAGTCAGTAGGCTTCTCATTTTTCCAATCTAGGTCAGCTATCTACTTTCTTTGAATGAGGCTAATGCCGGAACTTCGTGGTGTCACACTGGTCTCACTTGTCACGTAAGGGTCTAACTGCTTGTGTTTTAAAACCCTTACACGTGCAGTCACACCTTCAGCTTTCACCCAAAGTCCTCATCAGACAAAAACAAAAGGCCTTTCTGCTCAGGTTTGCTGGAAAGATGGGCTTTGCAGTGCAAAGTAGTTTTGTATATTGCCAATTATGTTTTAAAATGATCTAAAATCATAGTTCCTTGTTTAGCTAATGTTCTGTTTTAAAAGATCCAGTCCTGCTGAGCCACAGGGAAAGTGTAGGGATCCATTTACTGATTTACAGATTGAGAGAAGGATTTTAAAGTCTTTTCTCTGAGCTACAGTGAGCTAGTGGAAGGGCTTCAGAACCAGGCTGATGTGCTCTAGTTTCTAAGTTCTAGTGAGAACAAGGGCAGCAGCTTTTTTGATCAGCTGCCTGCAGCTGTCTGACAGACTTTTTAGGCAAACCTATGAAGACACTGCTGCAATATTAAATTCTACTAAAGAAAAATGCATGAAGGAGTTGGTCTGGATCTTACTTGGACATTTGTCCTTCAATCCTGGGGATGTTCTTCAGGTGATAAAAGACTGACTTAGTAACTGCCTTTATGTGCCTCTGACGATTTAAGCCATAATCAGTGGTTTCTGATGTAAAGGGATTATAATACTGTCTAAATATTTTGATACTTAATATTAAATGAATACGGTAGCTTAATGATTAATCTGTTTGTAAAACATTTTCTATTAAGTCATTATAAGCTATTTTTAATAGAAAAAATACCACATTTAGTAACAGAAACACATTTAATTGGCCCAAATAAAAAAAACAACAATTCAAAATACCAAAAAACCTAAATGTTTTGGTACTACATTTTAAAGAATTGATTTAAATTTAAATTAGATGAATTTTTTATCAATACAAAGGAAAGAGTTGCCTTTATTTCTTGTGTCGATCAGATGTAGCTCTTACACAATTGGTGATAATAATCAATAATATTTCAAAATTTGAATTGGTTCATAGACTCTAGATTCTCACATTTCAGTTCATTTGTTTCTATTGGTTTTCTCTATTTTCTTCAGCAAGATAAAACACATTGGATTGTGGTGAATATATTTAAGTTTTACAGAAAGATTCTTCAGTGGGCTTAGATTTAGACTTCGACCAGGTAATGTTAACACACTCATATTCTTTAATCTAAGCCAGGTCATTTTACCTCTAGCTCCATATCAAAGGATGTTTTCTTCTCAAACTTTGTCTTCAATCTACAGTCTGTCATTTTATACCTGCCAGTTTAGCTTATTCCAGCCTCTATTTCTCTACTGAGGAGTATTCCCTCAACCCAGTTGCCACTGCAAAATACAATGAAAATGTTTGCAATGCACTGTATAAGACTCTTTTTATTCTTGTCCACATAGGTCTGCTTGCATTTGAGTATCTGATTATCAAAGCACTGCAAAACGAGTCTGTGTCCCATTTAAAAAAATCAGGTTTCATTTTTATTCCCAGATTCATGTCACAATGTAACTGATTTATCTTGACTTTACCTTGATACCAGAGGTAAATGTCTGGCATTTGTCTTTGAACCAATTTAATGTCCAGAGTATATTTAATGTTGATTTGTGTTTCTAATGAAAAGACTTAAAACCCATGTTACAAAAAAAAAGCTTTCTTAACTGCATGGCTAAAGTAATGCCATATAAAAGTTGATGTATTTTTTTTAAAGGGATTAAGCATTTTTAATGCTGAATCAAGTGAATCACATATGAAAACATACTCCTTTGCTCTAAAAAAAAAAAAAAAATGTGCCAGTGTGCCTCAGGTGCCGATTATAGTCCATTTTAGATGATGTAACATGACTGTACTGTTGGCCTCTTGAAGAGAGTTGGGAAATTTATTTTCAGAGAAGGGACGATATGTTATGACCCTGTAATTTTCAGAGTCAGATATTACGGTCATTGACATTTTACACAGTTTGGCAAACAAAGATTTAAACATAAAAAAATTTGCTTAGTCAGTAAGAATTATTAGTTATTTTTGTTCTGGTGTTCAATATGTTTAGGGCTTTAAATCTCTAAATTAAAAATAGAAAATACGCTTTATTACTACCTTGAATTAATGATTATCTATTTACCCCTATGTGTACCAGTTTCTCATATTTAGATTGCAATCAGTCCATAATGTAAAAGCGTGATATGTAACTAATTTCATGCCAGGGGAATGTTTACTCATCAAACACAGCCAGTCCATAAAGCCACTTCTACTGTTTGTATGAGCAAACATGCTGTTGCCCTAAAAAACTGCACTGGTATAATTGAACACGTGCATCTTCTTGAAATTGAAAAAAGTAAGAATTTGATCATTTGAATCCGAAAAAAGAAGAAAATTAATACTTTATCTTGTTAAAACAGGATAAACTATATGAAGGATGCTCAGTGTGACGTTGTAGAATCCCTGATGTCATGATCTAAACATAAACAATCAATCCAAAACAAGAAATGGGTTTATAACATATTTTATTTCAGAATATACATAAATTATAATAATGTAAATTCAACTTTTTTTAATTTTCAAATTCTATGACATATTCCTAATGTTATATAAAATATAGAATCATATAAAAATAAAGTAAATGATTTTATATTCAGGTATACACAAAATGGCTTTCATCTATTGCATCATCTGCAAGTGTACAATATTTCCAACAAAATATGTTTAAACACAGCTAAAACTTATGAAAGTAGGCAGATGGTTACCTGTAGGTCTGTTTACACTTTACATCATGTCCAGCTAGTTTTAAGTACAGTAAAAATACCCCATTAACAAAGTTTGCATTTAGGAAAATTTGCATTTAACCTAAAGTTAGGGTGATAAAGTGCTTGTTTTAGCGGTGCAGCAGAGGCCCAAACATTACACAATAATTCCTGGAAGTTATAAACAGGGAAAATTATAAAAAGGGATCTAAAAATGTATATTCCCTAAATACAGATTATGTTCTCCTTGGGAAAACTATATAAATATATTTGAAAACCTAATGACTACATTTTTATAAAAAAAAACTGCTTAGAAAGCAATTATTAAGCTTTAAATTTAACAATTTCAACTGAAATCAAGATAGTTTTCATTATGAAGAAATATCTTATTCCCTGTACTGATATTTTTGTTTAATTACGACATAATGATACAGATTTTTTTTTAAACCATATAAATTCAACATTTATAAACCAACAAAGACATTTTAATAAACAGATACACCTCGTTTACTTATCGCTGGAGAGATACTAAATTTACATCACCCCTGAAAACTTTAGACTTTGAGAGCTATAAAAGCCAACGTGCTGATGCACATGCTTGTTGACCCAACTGCCTCACAGACCTTCAAAGGAGCAGACACTGAGGCAATAGCTAAATGTTTGACCATGCTGCCTAGGAATGACCTCTGGTTCATACACCGCTAAACTCACCCGTCTGGTTAGACAGCTTGTGTAAATAATACGGTAAAGATGATCAAATATTTTTTAAATTGATGCTATGCTGGCTGCCCACAGTCAGAGCTTATGTCAGATATTACATATGTTATGATTTGATTCTACTGTATGCATGTAAATATAAAGCACTTTTCAGTAGTTGTATTATGTCATTCTTTGATTTTTTTAAAATCATTTAACTGCATCTTGAAAATAAAGAATTATTTCAGGGGTCATGCTTCTATATAATCTTATTTAGAGACAGAGAACCATAAAATTCAGCAAAAATTTCAATGTTTCTGCTGGGATCAGATTTAATAAAAAAAAAAAGAATACTGTGGCTATAAATAAAAAAGAGAAATTATTTTTTAAATAAATTATGCCGGTGTATTAGTATAATTTCAGAATAAAAGCTGGGACACTTTTTAGTGAAAAATTCCACACAAAAAAAAATTGAAACCAATGAAAATATAAAATATTCTCGACTTTTATCATAAATGTAGATTTTTTTTTCCACTTGCAACTACAGTATTAAATACTCTTACTTCATCATATAATCCCTTTACAATACCTTGATTTTACAAATATAAATTTTGTTCTTGTTCGTATAAAATATGCACTACATACATAGAAACCTCCCTGTAAACCCATAGAGAAAACATCTTGTTTCTCAAAATCTCTAAAAGATTTGCTGTTAATACCAGGATTTATATATAGAAATTACATAAAAAAATGTTTCAGTATAGGCATTCAGTGTATTTGCATATATCTGTTTTAGCCACTTGTAAAAAATGTTTAATTATTAGGCTGTCCAAAGCAAGCATACCTCTTAAATTATTTCAGTCTGTCAATCTGTTAGTTACAGAGTGCCTTTTTCTGTTCTTTATGTGCATCCACAGGACTCTACTATCATATCAGGGACATCCATTTTGACGATGCTGTGCTGAGAGTTGAAATAGACCATGGAGAGTGGCCGCCGCTCAGTGGGAATGCAGCATGAAGCCGTGCCTGTGTTGATGCCATTGACTTTAAGCTGGCTGAAGACAGTAGTGTGGAATGAGGATGCTATGCCGGGCGAGCCAGCCAGATGTGGGGGGCACTGACCCATGCAGTAGTTCATGTGGTAGCCTTCAGGTGCAATGATCCACTCATCCCACTTGATGTCCTTAAACCTGATGTAGAAGTCTCTCTTGCAACAGACCGTCACCTCATCGCCACAGCGCAGTGAGCGTTTTCTGACTAAGTGCTTGGAGTGGTCATCGCGCAGACGCACCTGGGCCACCATGAAGGGCTGGTTTGCTCTGTCAACTGAGCCACCTAAAGAGCAGAGGTTCCTTCCATCCTCTATACAGCTGACCTCAAGCCGGAGCCGTCTCTGACCTCCATCCAAGAAAGTCTGTAGTGTGCGTGTTATTGTGAAGGTGTGCCAGTTACTCTCTTTGACTTCCAGCATCTTTTCTATTACCAGGGTGCGATTAGAGCCTGAGGTTCCTTCGTCTGCTGAGAGGAAGACCCGGGCAAGCAGGCGAGAGTTCCGGTAAGGATCCTCAGAGGGTTGAGCGTAGATCCACAGAGAGGACTGGAGGACTTGGATGCTCTTGCCACGTTCCTGCAGAAACTGAAAGGTAAGGCTGAGGCTGGCCTTGTCACCGCTGCCTGAATCATCTATGAAACAATGACAATTTAAAAACAAACAAACAGATTGTTAATATTTTGAACATATGAAAGTGCCAACAGCTTATAACCAAGACGGAACATGTTGAAACGAAAGTTGTGAGTTCATTTATTTCGTTTTCTTTATCTAGATACAGCAAACTAGCATTTTAGTATGTTCTAAACACTGTTAATCAAAAGGCATACAGTGCATTTCAAATAGAACCATAACTCTTGATTTTTTGTTGAAATGTCACTTTACAAATACAAGCTTTAAAAAGATATCTATATTTTTTAAGAAGATACAATTGGGAAATACATAGTTTGTATTTTGCCACATTCCAATTAGATTTAATTGTCAGCTTTGAATGTAATGCTCTTGAATAAACTCCAGCACAGTCAGTGCAAAACCAAGTTTGAACTAACAAATATCCCAAGCTGTGAACGCCTCACAGAGCAACATTCAGTTTATTAACAGAAAGTGGAAAGATGCAGAGATCCATCACTCAAGTGCAGAATGTCTGTTAGCCATCACTCTACAAATCTGACCTTTAGAGAAAAGTAGTGACATTGTTTCAGAAAGGTAAATGATACCCTCCTAGCAGTTCTGTTCAAGCCTTGAAGGGAAGACTTGGAAAAGGTACTCAACTGACACTAAATTAAACTTTTTGTTAAACCTATGTTGTACATTTTTCTTAATACACCATCTCTACAGTAAAACATGGTGGTGGCAGTATGTCATGTGGCAAAGTATTACTTAAGCAGGAATAGTGAAGATGCTCAGAGTAGAATAAAAACATGTTTGGAGCTAAAAACTACTCAGACCAGGCACGAAACCTGTGTTAAACACAGACAGAGGCTCAGTTTTTAGTAAGAGAGAAAAAAAAAAAAAACAAGAGGTAAGGGTACAATTTCATGGTACTGTATGCCATTAAAAGTGCTATTTAAGGTAACTTTTCATCTCATTTATAATATTAGTGATATACAGTATTATTATTAAAAAGGGTCTTTAGATAAAAACCTTTCTGCAGCAAGAGTTCTTATATCTTTAAAGAAAACATGAGAAGATTTTCCAATTCATCTTTTGTTGCATCATAATTTTCCCAAAACTTAGATGTGTCCTCTAGCATTCTCTATACACATTTTCACCCCACTTGTTTTTTCTCTATTTTCTCTATCTGTGCTCTATTTAATCATGTTTCTCTTGTAAACATTCTTCTTGGATCCTACCCTAAGGAAATCTTGTTATCTGTTTATTTGTCTACACTATTTTTGGCATTAAGCATCCTAAAATTTAGGTTCAGTAAGATAAAAGATTATAGTTGTTAACCAGGATGCTTTAAAGTTCCAATTTTCGTTGCTTGGGTCAAATTGTCAGTCTTGACGTTGAAAAAAAAAAAAAAACATCAACTGACCTTATTAAATCTGTGTTAATATTGCAAAATCAACCACAACTTTTTTTTTTTCTAGAGATTTGAAATTCCTCTGACTGCTGAAGGGAGGCGTGGTGTTTGTCTAACTTTAAAAATCAATACAATATGCATTTTGAACCAGCATAATATGTTTAATAATTGATAAGAATTGAACTTAATTAATCTCACACTGGAGAAAATCACCTCTGCATTTGACCATTTAATGAATAAAAAACATTTCTAAGAGAGAATATTTCCATATTTTCTCACTAAATTGCGAGAACTAAGAGTAAAAATGTAATCCCTTCCAGTCCCTATGCTACTTTATGTGCGTAAAATAACAAACACTATTTTACGCACGAACCGGATCAAAAAGCGCGCTCGTGTACAGTGTAAAAGAGTCATGCCAAAACCGCTTTAGGGTATGAAAAATGAAAGCAAAACTTACTTATATCTGCAAAGCTCACTATCTCATAGCCTTGATCTTTTGTTGGTAAGCTGTTATCTAGTTCAAGGGTACCATCCTGCCTGACGCGCCCTGAGTGAAGCTTACGCAGCGCGGTGAGAAGCGCCACTCGCGGCACCGTCTGAGTGATGTTTGGTCTCTCTTTCAGGTGCAGCTTGTCCAAAAGTTGCTGTTTTGCGATCTCTATCATCAGCCTCTCCTCTGCCTCTTTCTCCAACGGTGGTAAGCCACAGGATGCGCAGCCTGGGGAGCCGCACACCCAGAGACCCTTCTGCAGTAAAGTTGGCAGTAGTAGAAACAGTGAGATGAGTGAAAAAGACGGCGTCATCCTCCAGTGTGAAGCGAGGATTTGCATTTTCGAACTAAGTAATTTGACTAATAAAAATCTTTTAAAATCTATTCTTTTAGTGCTTCTTTCCACTTGGTGTGGTCAGATGCTCTTGCTGGAAACTCTGGTGCAGTGAAGAAAGACGCTGAAGAAGCAGTGGCGTCTCACCCTTTTGATGCTGCAGATATCTGGGGTAATCCACCAAAACTGGTGACACGTTGGAGAGACGCACCAATGAGCGCAACGGGGCATTGGTGAAATTACGCATCAAACTGTCCTCTCCCACAACACGAACGTTCACACATCTGAGAGCACGCGCTCACGCCCTGGCATTTGACTCACTATCACTTAGTGTTAATCCTTTATCAGTATGAGCCAATTTGAGCACCTGGATGATGAATGCGTAAATGTTTGGTTTGTGTACAATGATCAGATTTTCTGTGCCACGCAGCACAAGCATTGCATCTCCAGCGTTCAAGGTTGAAAAGCTGCGCCCTTTTACCTAGTTTCAGATTTGGTATCAGAACAGTAAACGATTGAACTTAGTTCGACATACGGGAAAGGGCTGGGCTCTGTGAGAGCAATTAAAAACAGGTTCTGTCATGTTGTCTGTAAGGTCGCAGCGCAGGAACCAGTCAGTAAGCGGACGCCTCGCTGGTGTCTCTGCAGTGTGACGAACAGAGAGGGGGAAAAAAAGGAGAAGCAGAAGAACAACTTTCTCAAGTTGTGACAAGTTTTCTCAGCCTGGGTTCATCGTCTGGTGATGTCAGAGTTAAACAGACACTGAAAACTTTGGTGAATATTAATCTACAAGCGCTCATTTCCCCATAAATTCATTTTAAACAGTTATGTGACTTTATCAGATAATTTAAAACACTTAGCTATTAAATATCCCCATATACAAATATGATGTTGCAGTATCATTAATTGATGGAGTGCATGCATAATAAGATTGAATACAAGCTTTTCTGTTCCCATATAAACATAAAGATGATTCTATTTACCATTTAATCGCTTAACTTTAAGGCTGACCGATAATTGTGAGACAAAAACATTCTCTGGTTCACTGATTATTAGGTTACTTGCCTGCCCACACGTGGGGAATCGCAAGCACTGCAACTATCCACTGTCCACTTTCTAATGACAGATAAAAAAAAAGTTAAAGTGTAAAAATGTGAACTTCGCACAGGATAAACCCATAGACAAAACGAACTAAACAAGATTTTTGCAGCGTTTTTGGGAAAAAACAAAACAAGTTTTATTCAAAGAGCAAAGGTATACATTCTGTCAACAAAACTTGTCAAGTGTCTTTTTAAAAGAGAGCTCAGCATGTCAGTTTTAGAATCTACTCAGGAAAAATAAAACAAAATGCAAATTTAAGATAAACGGTATAAAATAAGCATTAATTATACAATTAAAAACAATATTTCAGTTTTTATTTACAGTAAATTTGAGTTTAAATTGTATATTATTTAAAGGCCTACTTGTTTTCTTGATCAGTAGAGAAAAAAAAGCAAAAATAAAAAACAAAGAAGTAAATTATAGTTATACTTTAAAGCAAATCCATCCATTATCTGACACACTTCTCCCAATTGGAGTCACGAGGGGTGCTGGTGCCTATCTCCAGCAGTCAATGGGCGAGAGGCGGGGTTCACTCTGGAAAGGTTGCCAGTCCATTGCAGGGCAACACAGAGACACACAACCATTCACACACACACTCACACCTAAGGACTATTTAGAGAAGCCAATTAACTAAACAGTCATGTTTTTGGACTGTGGGAGGAAGCCAGAGTACCCGGAGAGAACCAACGCATCCTCAGGGAGAACATGCAAACTCCATGCAGAAAGACCCTGGGCCGGGAACAAACCCAGAACCTTCTCGCTGCAAGGCAGAAGTGCTACCCACTGCACCACTGAGAAGCCCACTATAAAGCAAATATATTTCTATAATTTTACCTGCAGGTTAGATTTTAAAAAAAGAATATGTAGATCATAAAAGGGCAATAGAAGCAAAATAATATTCAGGCAAAAAAACAAACCAACTGACTGCATAAAGAACTACCTAAAAAAAGAAAAACTGACGACTATCAGAACTAAATGACAACTAAGAATAAAAACATATTATATAGTAAATACAAATATAAAAATTAAATACAATAAGATACTTAAACAAATTATAATATAAGTTTCATCTCTCAAGCAGGAGCTGGTGGTGCAGTTTAATTATCCCCACCATACATTAAGGTCCTCTAAGACAAGGCCACCATCTTTTATCTGACCAAACTCCCAGGGATCATAGGAGGCTAGAATCCAGTAATACAATAGTCACAACACAAAGGAAGGAAATGGTTTAATAAAAAATTCAAGCTTACAAACATAGTGGATGTATTCAAATTAAGCAGACTTTTAATGCACACTAGTGCATTAAAAGTGTTTCGATAAATGAAAACCATCAATTTACAAATAATAAATGGACATGAGAGACCTTTCTACAGTTATAAATAACTTTTGATTTAACAATATTCATTTCCACTCTTAATTTTTAATTTACAAATACTTTGTTTTTCGAAAGGGAAATTAAATGTTGCAGTAACTCATTCTTTGTTTATGTTGATAGCTGTAGACTATCATTTGTAGATGTCATGGGGAGTTCCTAGACTACAGCTGGCCTTTTTCAATATTGAGCTTCTTTAAGTCATTTGTACTGATGCTGTTAACCCAGCAGATGACGGCAGAAGAGATCAGACTCTCTACAACATATTTATAGAAGATATGCAGCATCTTGGTGCTAACACTAAAGGATCTAAGCCTCCTTAGGAAGTGCAGTCTGCTCTTCACAGTTATGCCTCCAGTCTAGTTTGTTATCCAGGTGAACACCAAGGTATTTACACTCCTCCACCACCTCTACTTCTTTTCCCCTGATGCAAATAGGATTCATCTGTCATGTTTGGTTTCAGGTTCCTAACCCACATGCAGAACACTCAAGAGACTGGGAAAAAGTTTAAAGGTTTATTGAATAAACACTGTACAGAGTGTAAACTGGTCAGGGGGTTATCAGATCCTGGACTGGTCACAACTGGGTATACTGCAGAGGGGGACAGAGGAGTTAGCAGAAGTCCAGGTGATTTGCAGGATGAGAGAGTGCAGGTCTGTACCTGTTCTGGAGTTTGAGCAGAGCGGCAGAGGGGGGGAACCAGGAGGGTCCAGAGGCTGTAGGCAGGCTGAGGGCTTGGTGGAGGCAGAGCTTGGTTTGAGTGCTTGCAGATCACAGGTTTGAGTTTCCCTTCCAGATTCTTCAGAGAGCAGGTAGGCAGGTCTTTGACAGGTTTGATTCTCCGGGGTTCTTCAGAGATCAGACAGACAGATTTCCAACAGAGAAACTCTTCAGGGTTTCTGGTTTCAAGCAGGTTCAACCTGGGAAGCAGAGAGGACAAAACACATCAAGTTCTGGTTCAGGTTTTCAGGGAGTCAAAGATTCAGACAGGCAGGTTGGCTCAGGCTTGCTAACCATAACTGGCAAACACTCTGGCGCTGGAGTGATGTCCTCTGCCTCCTAATATACTGGTCTCCTGATGAGCAAATGAGCAACAGGTGGTGGCAATCAGCTCCGGCTCCAGGAAATCCAGTGCGCCCTCTGGTGGAGAAAGTGGACAGAACTTCAGATCCCAACATCATCGTGTTCCTGTTTCTTCTCAAGTCTAAAATCATCTCCCCTGTTTTGTTCACACCCAGGATCGGATTATTGTTTTCACCCTATTCCACCAAGTGGTTCACCAGCTCCCTGTACAGAGCTTCTTGTCCATTTTTTACTTGTATACTGCAGATAACAGGACTCTATCTTGTAGTGGAAGTCGGAGGTTCTCAGACTTAAAAGAAATGGCGTAGCCAGAGGAAAGACATTGTGTGCCAAAAAAATTACACCTACACAATATGTCTCAATATGTGCACATTAATAATTAATGGAAACCACGACTCATTTCTGTTTACCTTTTGTGCACTGCACAGCTCTCAGTTCAAAGGCCACGGAGGCCTGGTTTTGCCCTAAACACATTTATTATTTAATCAGAGCCCAGTTTCTCTGACAGCTGTTTTAAAATTAAAGTCAGGTCAGTAGGTTACCAGGTGTACCAGCTGCCTCTTTGGGTGGCAATGGTACACCCTGGCAAACTCATGGCTACGCCAGTGGTGGGAGACCAAGTGTAACCAGGTAGTCAATGTGGTCTGTTTGTCAGGCGATCTTGGATCCAGGTGATTGCTGAGGCCACTGTTTGAGTTTTGTGTAGTTTCTGAAAAAGATAATTACGCTGATTCATGTTAAATACCCCGGAGAAATGGAAGAATATGACCCTGATAGTGCTGCCTGCCTTGTCTTAATGACGATGGGTTTGTTGAAGCCACTTTATGATGCAATCTTCAACACCAACTAAAAACAAAGTGCAAGGGGTCCTGATTGCTGCTTGTTTAGTGCTGAGTTGAACCAGTATGAGTCACTGTTGGACCTTCATGATTTGGGATGTCAGGACAAAAGTTCTGTAGTCATTGAAGACTGTTGGCCTGCAAGGTAACTGTTCACCAGCTCCACACAACCCACTGCATTTTCTTTGGTAGGAGTTCTTCCAAATAACTGGAACTGTGTCCTGGGTCAGGCTGAGGTTGTAGAGGTGCTGTAGAATCCCATGGAACTGCTCTGCAGAGACCTTCATGACTCCGGGAATAACACCATCAGGACCTGGTGCATTGTGCAATTCAGGCAGTTGTCTCATCACTGGACTTGTAGAAATGGACAGGTGTAAAGCTGAGGGAAAGCACCATGGTTTAGATTTGGTTGAGGACAAAGGCATAGAAGCGGAAGGAAATGACAGAGGTGGAAGATGAAACATTTGAGGTGTGAGAGAGAAGCTTTGGGTCAAAGAAGCATGGGACACCAGTTTGACTTTGGCCAGGAGAGAAAGATGCTGAGTGTGTTACTGTTAGGTTTCTTGGTTTGTTTACTTACAGGGTGGCGGGCTTATTGATTCCAGCTGGTACTCCTTGTCGGCAATCAGCGGGGCCCTTTATTTTATTATTAATAATAAAAATACAGTTATTGTTATTATTATTATTATTATTATTATTATTATTATTATTATTATTATTATTATTATAACTGTCTCGTGTTGGGTTGACTCCTTACAGGACCCACCAGCCTGCCTGTCCACCCTCCATCCATCCCAAATCCATCCTCTGAAAAAGAACATAGGCTCTCCTTCTCTGCTTCAGCCCAAGCTCTGTTCCTTTCCCCTGGTCAATGGTCTGCAAACCTTCTTCAACACTTCAGCGAATAAACCTTCTAAATCTGCTTCAGTGTCTCAAGTCTCTTGCTTAAGAGTCTCTGGTTCAAGCATCATGTCAGTTACTAAATTAAACCGATTGTAAAGATTCACTTCATTGGTTCTGTTCACACTTCTATCTGTCTGATCACACATCTGCTTGAAGCCTGTGATCTTCTTCATCCCCAACCACACATCTCTAATATTCTAATATATCCTGGAGCTTGTTTTTCAGCCTCTAACTGTATGACTTCTTGATTTCTCTTATATTGAGCTTAAGTTGTTCTGTATATTGTTCTGTAGCAATAATTTCACGTCTCCCCTCCCTGAAATCTCTTCTTGTTTTCTTTCTTCATCTTATAGCAGAATCCAAAATTTGACTTAGGTCTGCAATTTGACAAGTTAATTTGAACAAGGATTTAACTATTTTCATGGTACTTCTCTCCCTTATGTTCATTCTCTTAGTGAGAAATTTTGAAACATCACTGCTTTATTAATAATAAAACAAGAATTGGAAAAACAGATATTTTCATCTGGTATAGTTCAATTAACTTTATCATAAATCAATATCAATGGCTAAAACCTTGACAGAGTTGGATGTTCCAACGAGATAAACCCAAACACTCGTAAAAACTGGATTTAGATTTGATAAAAGAAATGAAAATAAAACTTTTGGAACGAATGATCCAACCTTCAAACTTATGGTAAATGTGTGTAGGTTTACTTTTAATGAAGACTGCTACACCCAAAGCATGAAACCAAAGCCTTCAAGTAAGCTCTACAATTTCTGCAATAACTCAGAAACTATAATCTCTTAGTTATAGTTTAATATCCCGAAGATTTATGCCAGAAGCTTGTTGCATACAGTAACATTTTCTTTTCGTTAACTTGTTAAACTTTTTTTTCCCGCTGCCTCAGATTATATCAGGTAATCTCTTAAATTACGTAATCTCTATTTGATAATCACAGTTGACTACCAAATGTGTATTTATATATTTTCTGAAATCATTTATTAAATACAACAAAACCTTTAAAATATTTGATCAGACTAGTTCTAAATAAGCAATTATTATTCAAGTCCATTAATCTGTTTTTTGGATTAACCTTTTAATAATTCAATGGCAAAAGGTCCCAAATATGATTTTTTTTTTAAATATATATTTGAACCAAATGAAGCTAAAGATTTGCCTGCTAAGGAGTTCTGGATAAATCACATTTTAATAAAAAGCTTTTTCCTTCTTAGACTTAAAATGCATATTTTTGTATGGTTTTTGTCTAATTTATTTTAATTCAATTCAGTTTATTTATATAGTGTCAATTTACAACACATATTATCTCAAGAGACTTTACAGAGACAGTTCAACCAGATCATACAGTCAGACTGGTTCAAAGTTTTCTAAGGAAAACCAGTTGATTGCATCGACTCATTGACTCATCAGCAATCCCTCATACAATGCATGCCTGTAGCGACAGTGGAGAGGAAAACTCCCTTTTAACAGGAAGAAACCTCCAGCAGAACCAGGCTCACTCTGCCAAGGCCAACTGAGCTTAAAGGAGACAGAAGCAGAGATACAAGGTAACTGTTCACCAGCTCCACAGGCAGCCCCGTCCAGGAAACACACAGCAGGGCAGACAAGCTCCGAGCCAGCTCGCATGTCAGAGCATGAAAGGGAGCATATACAGTTAGTCACAGTCAGAAAAACAGGACTATCCTGAAAAAAGGCCAAGCTCCAACATCTATAAACAAAGGTGTTGATGGCAGCACCACAGCTGATATTCATCTGTCGGATGGTGTCAAAGCCAAACAGGAACAGACTAGATTACTGCTCCTAAAGAGTTTTTTTTTGTTTTTTGTTTTGTAGAAGATGTTTTAGAGTCTATAGACCTACATAAGGTAAATTAAAAAAAAATGACATAGGTAGTGTAGGAATGTTGGTTTACATAAAACGGGGTTAAATATCTAGATGTTGTTATTTTCAAAAGGTAAATTTCCTCTAACAAGTACTAACCAGACTTGGGCTTAAATAACAGTCTTAAAACACTCATGACTTAGACTGATTTATTTAGTCATTTTGTATACACGAGTGTAAACAAAAAGAAAATTTTGTTTAAAACAGCTCTAGACAATTTCATTTTTTAAAATGCAGCCTTGAAAACAGTAAAAAATACATAAATAAAATATAATATATATGAATTAATAAAATGGGAAATGAATAAAATGTGTAACAAAAGGTCCTGTGATATTCCGTATATCAGCACAAGAAGTAGAATATCCTGTTACTTTCCATTTGTATTCTTTTTAATTCTTTTTAATTTATTAATATATTAATATATTAAGATCACTTGAACCATGACTTTAACAACTTTCTCTGTGCCCTGAACGCCTCTGAGTGACAGGGAGGTACGTCACTGACGTCAACAGCCGGTTGGGGGGGGACAAAAATCTGACGCTGACACACAAGCCGGAGCCGAGAAGAGGGGGACTAGTGTTTTGTTTCTTTTTTCTTTAATTTATGTCGTTTTATTCTTTAGTGTTTTGTTGTTATTCAGTAAGATTCCACTGACAGCGCAGACTGCCCCGCTTCCCAGCGCTTGCTTGTCTGCCCTTAACTTTCGTGGCGCTGTACCCGCACGCGGCGCTATTTTGACAGTCGGCTCGTTTGGATCCACTCGGCTAGCAGCAACATCATATTAGCAGCGGTAAGTCATTTTGGAAGCTAGCAAACGTAACACTCCTATTTAAGGACACAACAATGGCTGGACTGCTCTATGACAAGAGTCATGTCTTGTCTGTTTTAAATTGATAACATAAAGGGTGTCTTTTATTAGCATCGGATAGTTAGCGTATACTATAAAGAAAGGGCTAGCTAGTTGGGCTAATATTAGCTCGGTGGCTAATTATACTCTTTGGAGTAAGCAGGCTAGAGCGAGCAGCTAGCTATTGTTAGCGGCTAATATTATCAGGCAACTGGTAGCCACGACTGACCATACTGCCATAATTTCTTCAAATTGACAACTTGACAAATTTTCTTAATTGGAGTCAAAGCACACGGGCACGGAGCGCGTAAGCTGAGCTCGGAAGATGATTTGAGATAATCTATGCTTGAAGATCTACTATATTTAGTCTCATTTGAAATGTAACATGAAGCACCATCTTTAAAGTCCGCGTTCCCAATGGCTGACTGGAGATGTCTAAGATAGCTCTCAATCTTCTTGGTATACGTGAGATGTGGCTCAAAGTCGGAGAATGAGTGATTAAAGAGGAAATTAAGGCAGTTATTGTTGATGGATACAGTATTGTAAAATAGGAAATGTACAGCCATAGTTAAAGCATACAATGAACGAGTTCACCAGTATACTATATATATATATATATATATATATATATATATATATATATATATATACACAGGGGTTGACGTTAAGGATTTTTACCACTTGAGAAGTTCACATTTCGTTTGCCCAGAAACAAATTTTACTTGCCCAGTACAATGTTTGATAAAAGTTCCTAATAGTCATTTTTGTATATATATCAATGAAGCATGTTTGTTTTATTTTTTTATTTTTTTTTTAATTCAGTATTTTTTAAGTTT